TTTAGAATGTAGGGAAATTTATAATTTTGAGAAAAATAATTATTTTGTGTGTGAATAGTTGAAATTTCAAAAAAATTTTTCAAATATAGTTTTGACCCAACATTCCATTACATTAAACTTAATTGCCAGGTTGGCTTATCAAAATCTACAAAAGTAGCAGAGCAGATTTTTTTTTTTGGGAAATAAAAAAAAAAAAAATGCCACTTTAATGCTGGAACAATTTTAAATTAACTAAGCATTTTTTAAAAATTAAAAAAAAACAATCAGTATCATGTTTTATCATCTTTGATTTCATTTCTTGCTATTGTGTTTGTAAATTTAAATGTTTAAATGACTCTATCACTTCAGTTAAGCAAAAAATATGTTTCAAATATAACCAATTGCCTATTACATCCATATGTATTCATTTTGAGTTCATCAATCAGCTGATCTGACTATGTGATCATGTTCTATGTTACACAATTTTTTAGTACTTTAGGATTCGATTTGAATGAGTTAGTCCATTTTAGTTTGTCATCCAAATAAAAATCATCCATGAAATTCAGATTGTCCACATAAAACTTTATTATGAAGTCCCAAGATAAAAGTAGGCCCATATCGCTTACTCATGATAATCCTCCTTATAAACAAAGTAACCCTATAAAGCTCTTGTCAAATTTCATAATAATCAATGTAGCCTTGTTAGTGTATATATAATGAAGCATCACAATGATCAATGTGACATGGAAAAGCTAAATATAGGGAAGTAATAGGATTAACCATAATGCCAAAATAAAACTTTTTTTTTTTGCAATTTGTTTCTATGTAGTTGAAACCTTTTGAAAAAAAAATCTCACTTGTAGGAGATTAACAATTTTGTTCTTTTCTTTTTCTTCTCCTTACTTCCCTCCCCCTTGCCTTTTGGTGTTACTTTTTGAAGTGCAACGCTACAGCACTATTTGTCAGCACACAGTTTCAAAGTGCTGAAACAAAACTTTTTGTATCCAAATTTCTGAATGGGATTTTTTTACATTACCACCAAAAAAAATGCTCTTTAACTAAATTCAAAAATGCTTTAGTAATTAAGTAATTTTTTAAGAAATATTTTTTTCTTTTTTTCTATTGTATAGGCTTTTAAAATGCTGACATATCTGTTAATGTCTTTCATACAATTATTGATAAGTATTATATTGTAATGACAATGAAATGAATGCTAAGGTCAACAAAGACCTTCAACAAACTATCAGTTGTGATCTTCAATTGCTGATCTGATTATACCTGATTTACTTCTTATATCTTCATTTTTGAATCTTTGCTTTTTAATATTTTAAACAGAATTTATGTAATTGTTTTTAATTTCATAAGTTTTGGGTTTTGTTTTTGTTTTTTGTTGTTGTTTTTTTTTGTCTGAAAAATTTCTTTTTCTTTAACAAAGTTTGTGTTCAAAATAGTTTTGAATTGTTATTATATTTTAAAATTTTTATTAATTTTTTTTTTTTTTATCAAAATTTCATTTATTTTTAATGTAATATAAAAAAAGAAAAAGAATTAGTCTGGCCTTTTTGAATACATTTTGCAAATTTAACGTTTCTTGAAGTGACGACTTTTCTTTTGTCTCTTTCTTTGATTAGCTCATTTTTCTTATTGCACCATTTGGTCATAAATCATTACATGTACTTTTCTTCATAGTCTTTCTTTAGTACTTCTTAAATGATTACTTTATCTCCACCATGTACTGGTATTGACCTTTCTCAACATATACAAATAGCTAGTTTAATTCATACCCAAAAGACCTGTAAATCATTTAATGATACCTTGTATTACCACACCTTATACTAGTGTTGACCTTTCTCTATATAAATTAGGTGCTAGCTGCTTTTTTATCATATCAATTGTGATTTTATCCATAACCAAAATTTTTCCATATATAATATGTTTTAATACTATAATATGCTTTTTCTTTAACAAAGTGGGTGTAACACTTTCTCTAATGTGCTGCTGAACTTTAATGGAGGCTTGAGATTCTAATCAGTGCACAATCTGAAGTCTTTGGCTGCAGTGACCATAAGCATGGGAGTGTTGATAAAGTATTTGTTCTATTTTATTCTTCTTCTTCCTTCGCACTGAGCAACATAGCTGACTCAGACTTAAGCCTGCTTTTCTTAGCCTTTAATCATCCAAGATCATCTTCAAGGCAGCAGTTGTTTAGTTTTGGATGTCTCTCCTAGATAAACTGCTATCCCTAGCTTGCAAGCTTCATCTATCCGGGTTTAGAGTAATAGCACAATATACTCGCATTTGGCTATCTTTTCCCTGGATTATTTTTTTTAGATGTTTAAGTGAATACCCTAACCTCATTCTCCATGACTGCAAACCAGTTGGTCCTCGGCTTTTTATTTAATATTCACAGCTAGCCCTTATATCTAAGGGTCCTTCCCCTATCTGCCACCTGGGGGTGCACTTGGTAAGAATAGTAGCTTCCCTAACTTCTACTCTATGAAAGTTTGTTATTTTGTGCAGGTCCTACACAAATGTAAATGCAAAAGTATTAAGGCTAGTAAGTTTATAGGATGTACACTAAACTTGAAGAGTACATACTGGCATCTGGAGACTTGCTGTTATTAGTGGTGTTGATTTATATTGTTGAAATATTTTTTGTTATATTTAAAATTTTCCCCTAGGTAGTAGGTAAATATTATTGGTTAATTGCTACTTGGTTAGTATGTTGTTAACATTCTATAAATTGAAAATGAATTTATGGAAAAATATTCTTAAAAAAAAGAAATTTAAATTACAATGTTGCAAAAAAAAATAAAAAATCTATGTTTAGAGAATAATTAAATAAGAGTGTAAATAGTAAAAAAAAACACAACCTGTTTATTCACTTAAGTCTGATAAAAAAAAAATTAAAAAAATGACATTCTACAGATTGACATTGTAACAATTTCCATCCACTAATCTTGAGCCTTAGAATCAGAACCATAAAACAGCGTTCATGTTATTCATATATGGTGGTCCTAACATTTTGTGATCATTTAATCCACAGGATAACTTTGTTGATTTTTTTCCCATGTTTTTGTTTTGTTTGTTTGTCCTTTTTTTTGTTATTTTTTTCTGGTGTTTTGGAATTTTTATTAAATTGATGTTATTTTTCATATTTGCTTGAATCTAATTGGCAGCAGTACTAAAAGTTGATTGTAGTCTGACCAATTGTTTAGTGAAAGTAACATGTAGAAATGAATGCTTAGTGACTTAAGTATAATTATTGTTCATCCAATGAAAATCGTGCAATGTAAGCTTACAAACTATACATCCTATAATTTAATTTTTTTAAAAATGTTTACAGCCTAACTTTTAATTGTTAATCGATAAGGATATCTTATTAATCACATATAATGATTTTATTATGATAAACTATATTTTTTTCATGGTCTTGAATGAAATCCATGACTGTGACTTATGGACAACTCATTGAGCCAATCAATTGTGATGCAATCTAGAGCTTTGTAGACTTTATGTCAAACTAATAAAAATATTATTATTTAATCTTTGTTTCGTTATTTCTTTTTTCACATGTTTTAAACATACAAGGAAATGAAATGAATCATTTAATTAAGAACAGAATACACAAGCTAATCTACCGAAGAAATGTACCTGTGTCATAACCAGCATTTCTCAGATTTCATATTGCAGACCAAAGCATTGTATATCATTCAAACACAGCTTCCATCTCTTGAAGAACTATTTCATGAAAGATGCCTTTCCATAACACAAATGATCCTTAAAGACAATCTGCACCCATTAAGCCACTGTTACATCCTTAACATTAGGACTAAAAAAGAAAGATTTAAAAACTCCTTTATCAGACTTTCAGAGTGTTGCAAGGTCATCTGTCATCATCGAGAAGTACATAGAAGCCCATTTGTGTGAGTGCGTGTATATGTTTCCTGTGTGAATGTTTTCGTATTTGCATCTATGTTGCTATTGTTATAGTAGTTATGCTGAAGTGGAAAATTGTAGTCTAACTGAATGTCCATTTGTTTAGACCAATAACATTATCTTAAATCATTTTGCAGGACAACTGAAAGAGCTTAGACGTTTAATTTGACAGTATTAAAAAGTGCATACAATTTATTGTATACGTTCTGACTGACATTCTCAGTTAAATGACTTTTTTGTTTTCTGTACAACACAAATAATTTATTAATAGTTGTCCTCCATAGATGGATATCTCATATAGAAATCATTTAGACCATGAAAATATTGTCACACACTATTATTATCTCTGATTCAGCAGACCTATTGCTGAACCAAAGTTCTACATTTCTCTGCCCTTATCTAAACATAATAGATGGAAAGGTGAGTGGCAAATAATTAATTTATTTTTTAGTAGGAAGTTTATGTCAAAAGAATAGCTTTTAATAGTTAAAACATTTTCTTTTTGTAACTCCCCACTTAAGTGGAATCATTATCTGCAGGAAGATCAATTAGCCTGGAGACCAAGATCCACTTCCTCAATACTACTATTGTTTCAATGGCCTTCTACTCTTGCCAGATGTAGAAAACTACTATACAGGCAAAAAGAGGCTAAGTGTGGCTTAGCAGTGATGGCAAAGAAAGCTCCCTGGAATAATATACTGAGACCAATTCACCAATACAGAAGTCCTTTCCTGCACAGGCATTTGCACCCTAATAGAAGTGGTGACTAAGCATTGTATGAGATTTGCGGGACATATCTAGACAAGACAAAAACCCATTTTCTAAAGTCAGCCATAACACAGAAGCCTAAAAAGGGTTAGCAAAAACAGGGCCATCTGCATCTAACAATATGTCGCAACTTCTTAGGAGACTGAAAATCCATTGGCACAATCTGGGAGGAGGCTACGGAAGTGGCCTATGACAGATTTCTTTGGAGAAAGCTTTCCACCAAATGCAATTTATACTTGTCAGTGCTTAGATGGATTAAAGAAAAAAAGAGTTGTAGCCTACTATTGTGTTCTTAGTTAAATAAAAAAATTCAGATTTTGTTATTATTATTAATTTTGATTTATTTAAATAATATATCAAGTCATAGCTCTTGTTATGTTAGTTTAACATGGACGAACAAGTAGTAAATTAATTGCAGTCACACACAAAAAAAATGTAATACTCCAGTCTTCTGAAACATCACCAAGCTCTATTGAGTAATTTATTTTAAATAATAATCATGAATCTAAAATTAGGAAACTTCTTACAAAAGTATTTAAAAAAATTATATATTGGTTTATACATATGTATGTAAGATTACAATGTATTTTTTCACAACTCACTTATTATCCTTTCACTTGTTTCCCCACCTCCATTATTATCTTTAGCCTTTAACTGAATATATAGCTATCAATAAAAGTGGGAGTCTGTGAGTGTCAAATGTGACGATGGACCTTCAAATGAATTTCAAATCTGTACATAATTACTGAGATAGTTAATAAACATTAAATGAATAATCTCTAAACACCATTATGTCTATAATTTTCAACATAACACAATAACACTGGTCTGAAATTGCCACACAGCCTATTTGCAACCCAAAAAAATGAATGTTTCATAAGTCTCATCAAACAAAAATATCTTTATAAGATATGTACTAATAGTAATATTACATGTGCTACAAGCTAAATATGTTTTTATAAAAGGATTTTTTTTTACTAGGGTTCCACTTGTTACACAGAAACATGATATAATAATAGACTAGTGTAAGTGTAGTTAAAAATTAAACTGAGTTATGACATAATATGAGTTAGGACTAAGAATTTTAAAATAAGGAGGCAAAATAATGATTGCAGCCTTGAAGAAATATTGAGAAAGATCAGATCAACATAAAGTGACTTTCAAAAAAGAATAAACTGGTATTAAATTCAATTCAAATTCTTCAATATACTGTACTCAACAATATTTATCTATATTTTGAAAATAATCTGATAGGACATAATATTTTAAAAATAAAATTGTTAACAAAGATGTGTTAATATATGAAGATGTGATAAGTATATCATAAAATTGTATATTTTGTGTAAAAGATTTTATATATCTTATTTTATAACAGAAATAATTTGACTAGTAGCTTCAAAATCACAATACAGGTAGCCAAATAATGATCTAACATAATTGAAATATTTGGAATGTAAAATTTAGACATTTACATAAATGCATTTTGAAATGTTATAGTTGACACATTTTAATGCTTAGTACAAAGTATCTGGCAAAATAGAACTGACTGCAAAGATAGAAAGGGGGGAAACTGCGCACATTTTTGTTACTTATAAAAGAAAATACAGACAACCTTTTTTCTTTAAATCACAAATCTTGTATATTTATATATAAAAAATTCATATTAAAAAATTTTGTGAACAAGTAATGATGACTTTTTTTTTATGAATATATTATATAGTAAAGTTATTTTATACTTATGTTTTTATAATTAAATTGACATTGTTTGGTGACCTTGGTTCAATGAGGTTATATTTGGTTAAGATGTTTATTTGTTCTTAATCTGTTTTTGAGCTTCATTTACTCAGCAGCAAGTGAAATCAGTTTCGAATGACAATATCTTTCAATAAAAAGCAGTTTGGTACAAAAGAATAAATCAGAAAACTCAACTGACTGTCTTCAACCAGACTGTTATATTGTTTCCATTAGTTATATTAATATCTAAGGCCTTGAAGGTACTGGCTGTCTAAGAATGTCAATTATCTCCATTTAATTGTCTGAAAATAGATTGTTTTCAATGTAATTTCATTTTCATACTTTCACTTGAATATCATTATCAAGATACTACCTCCCATAAACATTCAAGCAACTAAGTGCTGTGTTTTTCAACAGAATGTAATAATATACAACTCAATAACACTTAAAATGGCTTGAACATCAATGGAGGTGTGTGACTGAGTGGTAAAGTGCTTGGCTTCCGAATTTGGGGTCCCGGGTTTGAATCCTGGTGAAGAATGGGATTTTTAATATTGGGATCTTTGGGTGCCACTGAGTCCACTCAGCTCTAATGGATACCTGCAGGGCCGATATAGGCCACTGCATCCTATGCGGCTGCAGTGGGCCCCGCACTTTCATAGGCCAGCGCGAATTCTAGGTGTAAATTATTAAAATAAACCATTTTAACTTATTATTAATAGGGTTTCCGGAATTCTCCTGAAATTGTAAAATATACGAAAACATCATGAAAATTTCCTAAAATTATTACAATCTTCTGAAAACTGATGCAAATCTGCTTTAAAAAAAGACAAAATTGTCATTTCTGGGTGTCATTCAATATGGAAAACACCAATCCTACTAGCAATTAAAAAAAACTGCCTTTATAGCTTTTATTTAATAAAAATATAATAATAAGGCGAATTTTAATCAAAACAAGAAGTTCTAATTCTTAATTTACTTTAATAGTCACTGGCATATCTAAATCTATCTCGACCTCTTAAAAACAAAAGCGATATTTTGCTAGTCGATAATAAATCTAAAAGGAAGATCTGAAATTATATCAGCATTTTGTGCAAATCTACTGTCTACTGTAGATGGCTCGTAAAGTTAATTTGACAGTGATTTTGTACTTATTAAAATATGAATAAAATGCAAAGACGAATTTATTTTCTAATACAAAACTTAATTTTCACTTATCCTTATTGTAACCCAGAATAGGCCACGCGCAATGTGTTTCACATAGGGCCCCACAATCTGTAGGACCTGCCCTAGGTACCAGACATTAGTTGGAGGAAAGTAAAGGCAGTTGGTTGTTGTGCTGGCCACATGACGCCCTCATTAACCATGGGCCACAAAAATAGATGACCTTTACATCATCTGCCCTAAAGACTGCAAGGTCTGAAGAGGAACTTTACTTCTTTACTTCAGCATTCATGGTATTAAGAGCTGTTTTTCAATATAATATAGTAACATAATAATTGGTATAATGTTAATAACATAATAATAGGTATAGTATAATAACATAATAATTGGTATAATATAATAACATAATATTAGATAAAATATAATACATAATAATAGGGAACACAATTATTTTCCTAAAATATCTGCTTAACACAACAGGAGGTAAAATACTTACAGAGCTATTTAAAATATCATGAGCATACAAGCCTTCTTTAGAGTAGCGTTCCAGTTTAGATGTATATTGTTCTAGCTCCTGTCTATTTTTCAATGCTACTAATGTCTGTTAAAACAAATTTGTAAATGTTGGTTTTGAATATAAAAGTATCAACATTTTCTGTCAAGCCAAATCAGCAATAAGGGTAGAAGTAATCCCCAATCCAAATAATCAAGGAATATAAAATAAGAAGTCAAAACTAAAAAATCTCTATTTATCACTGAATGAGTTAAGCAAAAATATAAATCTTTTGTATTTGTAGGTAAAGCTTTTTTTTTCTCAACATCAAATACTTTATATTTACAAAAATATGAAGCAGAATAGAAAAGAATCTTTATAGTTCTACACTTGTAATAATGATTCCATTCATCAAATTTATTATACTCATTAATGAATTGATTACATTCATTAGAATTTATTACAAACATGAATGAATTGATTTGAATGTATTCCATGTATTACTGAATTAACTGTGATTGAATTGATTTGAATGTATTTGTGTATTACTGAATAGCTTTCATGTAAGATTGAAAAGATTTTAATGTATTTCATTTATGAGTGAATAGTGTAGAAAAGTGTTTCCCAAACTGTGTTCCGTATAACACGAGGGTTAAGCCTGAATAGGCGTTCTTTGAACTACTAATTTGCTCAGAATGTGGGAAGTGTTCTGTCAAAGAAAATATTTGGGAAACACAAGTGTAGAATGTATTAAAGATCTAATTGAACTGATTCAAATCTAGAACATTACTTACATCTACTACTGCTTTGTGACATTCCACTTTTTTGGCCACGCTGAGTCTCTGCTCAAGGTTGTCTATCATTGATATATACTTATCTAAAACCTAAGACAAAATATTTTATAGAACTAAGAGCATTGACAGGTCTAAACATCCATGAAAATAAAGAATTTTCATATACCAAAAAACTTGTATTTTTACAGATTAACGAAAGCTTTTTTTTAAAGGTAAAACAAAATGACAACTCAAATGAATATTTTGGTGAGTATAGCTCCCGATGTGAAATGTACAAAACTTGAGCAGCTTATTCAAAAAAATTTTGTGAGAATAAATGTCAATGTTTTGTTTGTAATACTAAAGAATAATTTAGAATAATTTCAAGTGAATGTTTTTTGACATGCTGTTACACATGATTTGAACAAATCTGTTTATAACTTAAAGAGATAAGAACAATACAACAACAAACTTTAGAACCAGATTTAAAATATTTATTTAAAAAAAAGGGGGGGAGGCCTTAGAAATGATAGATAACAAAAAAACAACAACAAAAAAAATAAAACATGAAATAATATTTTCATTGAAATAGAAGTACACATAAACCTAATGATGATAAAAATAGGTATATACTCACATCAGGTGGGGCACCATTTCTATGCAAAATATTGACTATTTTCTCAAAGGCTATTACAGCTTTCATTTTTGTTCCTCCAAACCAACTCTACAAATAAACAAAAATATAATGAGAAATAGGATTAAGTTTAGATTAAGTTGAAACACACAAAAAAAATAGCAATTAAAAAAACATATAATGAAGAATTAGTTTAGATTAATTTTAAACCAAAAATACTTTTTTAAAAAGTGCATACTTTAGTTGTTAATAAACCTTCAATATCTTTCCAATTACGAAGTCTAGCCCTGGCAGAAATACTTGTCCATAAGAATTGTTTGTCTGAAATCTAAACATAAAAAAGATGATGAGAAATGAAGTTGATTCTGGCATAAAGACAATGTACATGTATTTTCAACCAAATGATCTTGAATTTTTGAAGATCTAATTGTAGTTAAATGTTTGTTTTGTAAAATGTTTTACAGGTTTTGGATGTTCTTTCAGAGTTGAAGATAATTTACTTCCTAGTCCAAACCTCCTGCAGAACGACGGAAGATGGGAGCGGGCAGGGTTTGAACCCAGAACCATCATTAAGTCAGAACGACAGTCTAGCGCACAAACAGCACGACCAGGCAGCTTGAGTACAAAATGTCCATAAAGATGTGTCCTTTGGTTAGTTTTAGCTTTTATGTAAGTTTATATTAGTTTAACTAACTTTTTTAATACTTATGAAGCTAATGATGACTGGAAAAAAAAAGAAGCTTTAGGAGTAGTGTAGGTTAGTCAGGAAATCTGAAAATGATTTTTTTTTACATTTTGTTACTACATCCTATCTTTCAAAGGACATATGTGTATATTAATGTATATATAACTTTGTAAGCAAATGATTTCTATGATTTATTTAACTCAAGGTAAAAAAAAGGAATTTGATGATGCAAGAACCAATTCATCAATTAGGTATAAAAGAAATCATTGCAGCAGAATTCAAGTCAAAATTGTATATTTGGACATGGACTAGTTGTAGTTAAGGTGTGTGATATGAAAGAAAAAATTATAAAAGTTATACATTGGTTGTGAAATTTTAATAAAATCACAACTTAAATACAAATTTTCTATGAAATAGTTTTGCTCAATAATTT